AAGAGAAACTATCCAATAAACGTTGGGGTAAATTAATGAAGAGATGCTCCGATTAAGATCAGGAAACTCGGCAGAGGGGATAGAAAACAAAAGACAAAATCTCGAGTAAGTAGGAAAAAATGAGCATAGGGTTAAGGTGGACGATGAACTGGGAGCCTGACGTAATACGCATAGCGGAGGGAAAGGGAGAAATGCTTAAATAGCATAAATAACAATTAGTGAATTGATTTTAATTTTCATACTAGAGCGTTATAATTCCGTGTCAATCGTTGAAAAAGTGATCGACAATGCCTACTGTGATTGGTATATGAATGTAGTAAGTAGATGTTAGGATGCCGGAAGAAAACATTACAACAATGGCAGTATGTAGCATGTTCCTTAAAGCCTTTCTAAAACACGATTAAGTAAAGTCGATACAGAGAAATAGTATTGTGGTCAGGCTAAGAGCTAAACGTTCTTGATTTATATTTCTATGATTAATTACTTTAAAAATCGTAAATATCGTAAAGCTTTTCAAATCTATGCCACTTGGCCTGTCACTTTGTCTGAAAGGTTGGTTGGAAGGGATTCGTGATTTGGCCACCCTGAAAACTAAATAATGATTGACTTGCACTTGTGACTGCTGATTTGTAAGAAGTCCCTGACAAGCAAATCTGTGACACTGATGGGTCAGTATTTAGCTATCATGTCATGTGGCATCATCAGAGCGTGAAGCCATTCTTCAACCAAAATTTGTCAAACATTAAACCCATGAAGTATATTTAGCACTGAACTATTAAGGTTGGAGGAGTGTGCTTAACTCTTTTTTGCACAAACCATGTCATAAACGCAAGGAAATCCTATGTCAGTTTCCAGTAAAGCCAACTCACGAATCCCTCCAATTCAAGTTTGCAAATTTTAAAAAGGGGCTGACCTTGTTTTCGCAACTTGGTTGTGTTGTCAAGGTGACTTCATTGGACGCATCTTGTCCAAGGTCCTCTGCTATAGTGGTTTTCGTAATTCCCAGCGCTAGACCGTGAACTTGGTACATTCTCAGACGTTTCGCCGACATCGTAATCAGCATCATCAGTGGGTCTTGTCATTCCCAGCCCCAAGCTATAACTCGTAAAAGGAACAAGTGAAGTCAACCCCTTGGCAATCTCGACGAAACCTCTGGTAATGTACTATAGCAGATGGCTTTTGACAAATGCATCCAACTAAGTATCCTTGACAAGACAACCAAGTTGCGAAAACGGGGTCAACCCAATTCTATGCATCGAAATGAGAATGCGACTATAGCAAAGGCCACACCATCTTGAGCTTCATCTCTTTCCAAATTAATTTTAAGGTCCATCAGGATGAAAGCACTAGGAGTCTTCGAAAATTAAATACGATTTATAATTTAAAATTCGATGTTATGACATTTTTACCTCTTCTTCTCGTCCAAGATTCTCTAAAGATAAAAACACTACTTGATTAAATAATATGGATGTGCCCATTGACTCATGCCATGAGCGCTAAATAGCCAAATATTTTATACCAACCGTTGGACCCTAAGCTAGAAGATGTTGTCAGCTTATTTGCACTTTTCTGCCTTAAGTAAGTGAGATACTTTTTTTTAATCAAGATAGGGTCAGATATACCAGATATCCTATTAATGCAAAATTCGCACCAACTTCAAGTCAAAACGAGTGTCCTGATAATTATGGCGCAACATCAGGCGGAGGTTGTGCAAAATTATCTTTTTATGGCGTTTATACAAACAATTGAATTCGGTTAGGTGGTAGCAGTAAGGTATATTGATCTGAAGCATATTCATAGCAGCCGTAACAACGAATAAATTCGCATAAGAAAATCGCTTTCAAAACTACGCCACAATCTAAACTTAGGTAATGAAATAGCGTGGGTTAAAATTAATATCTGGGCCTGCTAACAAGCCTTACCAAGCTAGATCACTTTTATATGCAGTTGATCTTAGGGAAAAAAATAATTCAGTAGTTACTATTTTGGCACCACATTTCATGGGGATTCCCAGTGATTCGAAGTTAAGCTGATGTATCCAAATTAGGATATCTTTCTAACAAGGGCCAGAGGTATTTTCAATTTAAACATATTACCAGTGACCAATAACTTTGAGTTAGAGTGATATGAAGGTAGCAAGCCACCATTTTATAGAATTCTAGAGAAAAAATTAATTCACTTCTTATTGCTGTTTATATGATAAGCCTTGCTCTAATTGTGAATATTCGCTATTAGTGGCTTAGAATTTGGGAACCTACTGTTACCAATCAATAGCAGTGAATCTTTTTATAACAAAAGGGATTTCGTATTGTTAATCAAGCTAATCACCCATAGAATATTTTTATGACCTAAAGCCTAATATGAGTAACTTAATGCGAATTCAAATATGGCCTACCTTTTATCATGTGTTTCGAAAGCTATCATATTACTATAATTAATTGGAGCCCATTTACATTTTTCAATGCAATTGTTCAAATATACGATAGTAAAGCGGAATATAATTAAGTGTGAATATAAAAAATTACAGGAAGAAAAGTTGGGTTTAGAGAAATCTCTTGTTTCATAATTGTTGAGCTTACCTCTATTTCGAGTGAAAGTGGATTCGAAGTTCGGTTCCACCAGAAGACGACGGCGGATTCCTCTTGACCAGCTGTCGATTGGCTTTACTGAAAGATTCATGCTGATACTGTTTCCGAGGTAATCTCCTTCGATTCCGGTGAAAAGGTACTAAGCTTTCGTCCGTCATATGGCGAAAATCATCGTCAAAACCAAATTCAAGCTAACGAGTCGAGAGAAATCCGCCGTTGTTCTTTGGTGGAATCGACCTTCAAATTTCTTCACCCAAAACTTTCACTCGAAATGGAAGTAAGCTCAACAATTATAAAAAATTATGTCTATAGGGAAGGAAATAAATAAAAACAAAATAAAGAAGTTATAACAAAGCAGTCCTGAGACGTCCGGACCAGCATGATGGGGCATAAGTCGTAATGAAGATACCTGTGTTGGAAAGGAGACGAATTTCAGTGCCTCATACTGGCACCAGCTGCTGTTGATATTACTAAGCGAGGAGAAGGCATAGTCGATTAAAGGTGCTCTGGACTCGACCCAAGGATGATTCGGAGTACCAAAGAGTCGGCTGAAGAAGTTAGAGTTGATGCAAATAACAATTATTACGATAACCAAAGAAACGGCTCGATTTGCAAACACCAGAAATTGGGATTCGGTGAACCGCTCACCGTCATAGTCGCGGGTCATTATGCGCTCCTTTGAAAAAAATACAGAAAATACGGAAAAAAATTAATTAAATCAAGCGTGCATCAGAGAAAGAAGAGTCAATATAGCCGTCAATCTCTAAAATAATATGCCTATGAAACTTCACAAAAATTAAAGATCTAAGGTATGAAGACCAAGATGGTGTGGCCTTTTGTATGGTCGCAGTCTCTTTTCGTTGTATAGAAGTTGTTAGACCTTGTTTTCGCATCTTGGTCAAATTTGTAGGAAAATTCAGAGGAACGCACCCAGTCCGGAGTCCATTGTCTGCATCATCATTTCCAAAGTCGGAACGTGGACCTGGTACATTACCAGACGTTTCGCCGGCATAGTCAGTGAGTATCGCCATTCTTAGCACCACACAAAAACTCGTCAAAGAGACAAATAAAGCCGATCCTTTGACCAAAGGTGTGTCTCATTGTCAGGCCTTTGCTACATGGACTACGTCTATGGTAAAAACAGACCTACTGTCAGCCAACTAGCTCCGGTCTCCGCCGCGTCTATCCTGTTTCAATCCCTAATACCAAGTCTTTGACCTCCCATGCCCTAGTCTCTTGTGTGCCAACCCACAAATGTTGTGGTACTGCTTGCTTTGATTAGGTTAAATGTTGAACCACAACGTTTGTGAGTTGACACACAAGAGACTAGTGCATAAAAAGTCTTAGACTTGGTATTAGGGAAAGAAACAGGATAGACGCGGCGGAGACTGGAGCTAGTTGGCTGACAGTAGGTCTGTTTTTACCACAGACGTAGTCCATGTAGCAAAGGCCTAACCATGAGACTTACCCGAATGAGTCACTCAAACTCATGGGAGGGGTAATAAAGCCTTGAGTAGCACAGATCGGGTGGCAGGAGTCGAGTGAAATGCTTGAACCAAGGCGATAGCAGACGGATTCTACGGGGCAAGATGGAGATTGTGATAAGACCTAGGAAAGGAGGACTGCGTAACAATATGGTAGACTCTGATCAACCTTCCCAGCACAAGGGTGAAGGGGGTGAGAACGCCATCGTGGGGTGTGGAGGGTTCTCATAAAAGCCATGAAAGCAAGAGAAAAATGTAATAGTGAAGGTGTGATGGGAGGATATAGA